GATCGACCCTGTATGGCGGGCGGTGAGTGCGGGCGAGGAGTAGGTTAATCAAGAAAGCTAAACCCAGTTGTATTAAAAACAATTCCTGCCCCCTTCCCCCTCCCCGTCCTCTCCCTCCCCCCCAAACCCTCTCGCTTGATTTAGCAATCTGAGAGGCCGGCAAAATTGGTGACATTTGTCTCCAGGAGCTGCCTGACAACCACCAAATTAGCTGTGTGCGACTCAGTAATTCCGACTGCTCTCTCTCCCTCTCTCTGTAGCTCGGGGCTACGTAAACCAATGTACTTTCTCATTCTCTCCAGTTGTTTTATTAACGAACGGAACGGCCAGAGAATTCCTGGCGGCTGTTTTTTTGGCCAGGGATCCGCTCGGAAATTGCCTGCCGCAGATTGAATTGTTTTTATTCGGGTCATGTGAGCAGCTCATTGAGAGAGTGATCGGACATGCAGGTCTGACAATCCTATTCCCTCAGCTTTAATAATAATAATAATAAGCCTTGCATTTGATATAGTGCCTTATCATGTCCTTGAGACGACTCAAAGCGCCTCACAGGATATACGGTAAAGTGGATTGACTGTACATTTTGTGGGTGGAACACGGCAGCCAATTGCGCACAGCAGGGTCCCACGAACAGCTATGGAGTGAGTGACGACAAAAATAAATTGTGTGGGGGAGGGATTATTACCCCCGGAAAGCGATCCGTCAATCGACTAATAACCAGGTTCCTACTTACTGCTCGGTCAACAGAGGCGTGTGGAGTGAGGAAACTTGCTTAAGGTCTCGCCCCGCCCGGGAATCAAACCTGGGTCCTCCTGCTTGCGAAGTGAGCGCATTAACCACTACGCTACAAGACTACTGTCGGGAGCTGATTAAAGAAAACGGTCAGTATCAGCGGAGGTGGACAGCACGGTGTTTGACTATGAGTGCGAGTGAGTGTGTGTGTGTGGGGGTGGGGGTAGGGGGTGGATTTTTCACCAGCCCAACACACAGGTTAGTCCCAGCCCAGGCTGTCAGTCAGGCCTGACGTACATCCTCCTCGTGTTAGCCAGAAGGACCGTTGCCGTAAAATGTAGGAGTTTGGGAAAATTCTCAAGTGCGGAGGCATTTTTCAGGGCAGCAGAAAAGACAACTTAAGTCAGAAGTGAAGAATTTGCCACAAAATAATTTTCCTCCGTCTCAGCCTCAGAATATTTCAACTCAAAACGTACACTCCACGGAGGGTGAGATGGAGGGAGGGAGGGTCAGAGCCTGGTTGAGGTGACTGTGAACTCCTCCCCACCGGCCTGTGTGTCAGCCTGACTCAGTGGGTAACGTTTTCGCCTCTCAGTCAGAAGGTTGTGAAATCACATAGTCTAAGCTCAAGATCCAACGCAGCGCTGGGTGGGGGGGTGGGTTGTTGCATTATCAGAGGTGCCGTCCTTCGGATTAGACATGAAGCCGAGGTTCGGTCTGCCTTCAGGTTGACATTAAAGATCCAGCGGCGAAAAGAGAAGAGAGTTTCTCTCTCTCTCCCGGTGTCCTGGCCAACAATCCCCCAAATAAAACTGCTCACTCACTCCATGGCTCCTTGTGGGACGCTGCTGTGTGCAAACTGGCTGCCGCCTTTCCCGCACAAAATGCCCAGTCACTGCACTACACTTTACAGTATATCCTGTGAAGCGCTTTGAGACGTCTCGACAAAGTGCTGAGGCACGATATCATGTGCAAGGGTTGATTATTATTAATCGTTCTTTACGCTGAATCCACAGAGTGGCCGGTGGACTGAGGCAGGGAGATGGTGAACTGGTTTCATTCAAGCTGCGAGCACTGACAGTGACAGTGTGAGTGAAGGACCAGATCAGCTGGAACCTATGTTTAATAGGTCAGGAGAGGAGCCCACACCCACACCCCCTCTCCCAGCACACAGGCTGATGTGCAGCAAGTGTCGGACTGTGAACATATCATTCTATCGCTCATGCTCTCTCTCTCTCTCTCTCTCTCTCTGTCTATCACTCTCTCTATCCTTATCACGCTATCTCCTACTCTATCATTATCTCACTCTATCTCGCTATATATCTTTATTGCCCTCTACCTCGCTATCTTTATCTCTCTTCCTCTACTTCTCTCTCTCTCTCTATCTCTATTTCTCATTCTATCTCGCTGTATCGCTATCTCAATCTATTAGATCTGTTACTCACTCGCTTGGATTTATACCCTCTGGTTACGGACTGATCAACAAGTGCAAACAGCCTATTTACATCCACCTTATCAAATCCTTTCCTAATCCCAAACCCCTCGATCGGGTCCCCTCTCAATCCTCTCATCTCCCGAGAGAAAAGCTCCCACCAGTCCTCTTTGCGGATCACTGTATCCCCCTTATCCCTGAGAACATTCCAGTAGATCCACATTGCCCTCACTCTACAGTTAAAGCATCCCCTTAGTGTGTTGAGCCGGACTACAAATAATAGCCTCTCATCATGTCATCGAGACTTCCCAAAGCACTTCACGGGATCCACTGTAAAGTGACTGCGCATTTTTGTGGGCGAACACAGCAGCAACCCACAAACTGCCATGGATTGAGTGACCAGTTTCATTTGGGGGATGGTTGGCTTGGTCACCGGGAGAGAGAAACTCCCTTCTCTTTTCCAACAGTATTCACTTGAATTGACTGTATATTTTGTTTTGCCCACAAATTATACAGTAAATTCACTTTACAGTATATTCTATGAAGCAAATTGAGATGTCTTGAAGACATGATAGGGTGCTGTATCAAATGCAAGGATTATTTATTATTAGTATAGCACTGCGGGATCTTTAACATCCATCTGAACAGGCACAGACAGGTCCTCGGTTTAATGTCTCATCCAAAGGACAGTGCCTCCGGTAATGTAACACTCCCCCCCCCCCCCACCCCCAGTGCTGCACTGGAGCGTCAGCTTAGACTATGTGATTCCATGTCCTGACGTGGGGGCTTGAACCCACAACCTTTTGACTCAGAGTCGAGAGCGTTACCACTGAGCCAGGCTAACTGAGGTTTGTAACGAATGGCATATCGCTTCCCGACCTACACTCCGTTCAGTCCAGTATTAACCGTTCTTTCCAGAGTTTCTTAAAAGTGGCTTCTAAATGAAGCCTGCGTTTGAAGAATTGTCCATTATTCTGTCAATCCTAGCACAATGTGTGGAGTAGTTACAGAGCACCTTTCTGGTTAAGATAATATCTCACAATGCTTGTCAAAGACGATGGCCATCACTGAGCATGGTCTGGGTGATCTGGACTAAAGTACACACAGGGAGGTTTTGGGGCGGGGAGGAGGATTGACAGGTCAGGGAGAAAGAGCGAGAGGGAACGATGGAGGCGAGCGGAGATGGGGGTGGGGGAGAGAAGGGGAAAGAGCGAGAGGGATGGGGGAGTGAGGGAGGGGGGAGACAGAGAGAGTGAAAGAGAGATAGAAAGAGAGAGACAAGACAGAGGCAGAGAAAGAGAGAGGGAGAGACAAAGAAAAAGGGAGACGGTGGACAGAGATAGAGACAGAGAGAAGAAAGAAAAGGAGAGTGAGAGGGGAGAAAGAGAGAGAGAGAGAGAGAGAGTAAGGAAGAGAGGACAGAGAGGGAGAGAGAGAAAGGACAGAGAGAGGACAGAGAGCGAGAGAGAGAAAGGGAGAGGGCAGACAGAGAGAGAGACAGAGAGAGGGGGAAGCAGAGAGAGAGACAGACACACACACACACACACACACACGAGACAGAGAGAGAAAAAGGGAAGCAGAGACAAAGAAAAAGGGAGAAGGGGGACAGAGAAAGGGAGAGAGGGAGACAAAAATAGAGAGGGAAAGAGAGAGAAGAAAGAAAAATAAAGGCAGTGAGTGAGGTGGTGTGAGCCGTGTTCCTGCAAGGCTGTGTTGAGTTATATGTTGGCTCCATAAGCCCACAGCTGAGTCCAAATCGCTGTATGAAAGTGTTCAGGGTGGGGTGGGGGGGTTGTTGTTGATAGGTCGTGTGGCTGCCCTCTGCCCTCTCCCCCACACCATGTCCCCTGCTCGTTCTGGCTCCGCACACCTCAACGGAGGAACCTTCATCAATTTTTCACGAGGTTTGATCTGCTCCCTTCCTGGCGATCAATACCTCAAACTCCTGTCAGATTTCACTGACTGCTGGTCCCCAGGAAGATCGAGTGACACATACACAGCACCTGCCACGACCCCCGCTCCGCACTCCGTCTCCCCCTACCCCACCCTCGCCCGGAAATCCAATCCCCACCCCACCCCTTCGAGGCAATTCCCGGCAGAAACATTCTCACATAAAAGTTCAGGCCAGTCAAGCCTCGGTGGGGCTGGAGGTTGTGTTCACAATAATCCTTTCATTCGATACATCGCCTTATCACGTCATTGAGACGTCTCTAAGCTCTTCGCAGGATATATGCATCCTGCTTACTTACCTAATTCCGGAAAGTATTAGGCGCAGGCAAGGCTTGGGGACACCAGTGTGTGCGTTGGGGTAATTGCTGGAGTCTAACCAGCTAAACCCACCCAGCTTGCCGTTAAGAACACTATCTGGTAATCTTTCCTGCTGTTTATCCAGTCAGAACTTGGTTCTAGACTAAAGGATAAATGTGCGAACTGGTCTTTAACGTCCCATTAGGGACTGATTTTGCTCTCCTCCCCCACACACACTGCTGTGGTGAGGGTACCTATTCCAGGCACTGACACACATCACAGTGTTACACAATAGACAGTGTTAATGTCAGACTATATAGAGGTGTCACTGTAAATATCAGACTGTATAGAGATGTCACTGTTAATAGCAGACTGTATAGAGGTGTCACTGTTAATATCAGACTGTATAGAGGTGTCACTGTATAATATCAGACGCTGCTCTCGTCACCGCAAATCACGTCCATTTACAGTGCAGAAAAGGAGGCCATTCGTGCCGACTCCCTGAGCAAAACGACCGTCCGTCCATCCGTCCATCCTCCAGCCCAGCCCCCTGACCCCCCCCCCACCCCAGCCCCCCCGGGACACTCACTTGCCACCTCCAGCGAGGCGTTGTGGCTGACGGCCTCCCCCAGGTAGTTACGAGCCACACACACGTACACGCCCTCGTCAGGCTTGCTGCGGCGGCCGTGGACGATGCGCAGGAAGAAGAGGGAGCCGCTGGGCAGCAGCATTCGGTGAGAGCGAGCGTCGTCCTTGTCCGTCTCCACGCGCTCCCCGTCCTTGTACCACTCCACCGTGGGGCTGGGCCGGCCCTCAGCCTTACAGTTCAGGGTGGCCGGCTCCCCCTTAGACACTATCAGGTCAGACGGGTGCTCGGCGATACGCGGGGCGAAGTCCTCCTGACGTAGACGGGAGCCTGACAGAGAGAGAGAGCGAGAGAGTGTGAGAGAGAGAGTGTGAGAGAGAGAGTGTATGTGAGATATATATAGAGAGAGAGAGAAAGAGAGAGGGTTAGAGACATTGTGAGAGAGAGTGTATGTGAGAGAGAGAGACATATATAGAGAGGGAGACAGGGTTAGAGACATTGTGAGGGAGAGTGTGAGAGAGCGAGAATGTCAGCAAGACACAGAGAGTGTATGAGAGAGTGTAAGAAAGAGTGAGCGAGTGAGTATTGCAGAGAGGGAGCGAGTGTGAGAGAGAGACTGAGACTGAGAGAGAGAGAGGATTAGAGACAGAAAGAGGGTTAGACGGCGTGAGAGAGAACGAGAGAGATGGTGAGAGACAGACAGAGAAGGGAGGTGGTTAGAGGCAGTATGTGGGCGGGAGAGACACACAGTGTGAAAGACACAGACAGAGAGAGAGAGAGAGAGAATTCGAGAGAGTGTGTGTGCGAGGGTGGGGGTAGAGGGGTATCGCTAGCTGTCAATTTTCGTATCACAATGTCCCGCAAACCGAGAGAGAATCTCCCTTCTGTTTTCCAACAGCGCTGCGAGATTTGAACGCCCACCTAAACAGGCACAGACGGGAACCTTGTTTAACATCTCATCTGAAGCACGGCATCTCTGACAAATTGGCGCTCTCTCACCCCAGCGCTACGCTGGAGAGTCAGCCTGGACTGTGAGCTCAGAGTCCCCAATGTGGTGGGGTTCGAACCCACGACCTTCTCAAGAGGCAGAAGCGCGAGCAGTAGTGTCTCAAATAATTCTCACTCCGACTCCCAATTCCCCACCCATCCCGCCATCCCCTCTGATTCCTTCGGCCACCTGTGCCTTGGCTAGTTCCCATTTAATTTCACCTCAAACAAGATCAACCACACTCTTAATTCACTCCACACTTGACTTGAACAATCAATCCTCTGGATAATTCTTCCAGCATCTCCACCCCCCCCCCCCCCCACCCCCTTCCTGCTCGGAGTTTAATCTTCCCCCTGACCTGGGATCAGCCACTAGAGGAAATAGCTCCCGGCTATTGATCGTCTCAAAACCTTTCATTATCTTAAACACCTCGATCAGATCACCCTCCACCTCTCTGCTCCGACCATTCTCTCTTACTTACTTATCACCGCAATGCTGTGAGATAAGATCGAAACCAGGATATCCCGCACACTAGTCCCACAATTTACATCTCTTTCTGAGATCTTTTGATGTAACACAAGAATAATTAGCATTTTATTATGATTATTATTATTATTAATAGTGTCCCCGGGAACCGTTCTGTCCTCACAGGAAGCCAGAGCCAGTCGAGGGAGCCAGAGGAGCTCTGGCTGGTGTGATGGGGGTACGGAGTTTAGTGTGTGTGAGTATGCGGGCGGCAGAGTTTTGGAGCAATTGTGAACACAGGGAATAACAAGCAGTAACGCCAGTGTTTAACACAAAGAATTTCAGACACAAATCTCAGCAATTAACACAGGAAATCCCGGGCACTAATCCCACGATTTACACCAGGAAATTACGGACACTAAACCCATTTTTTAACACGAGGAATCCCAGACAATAATCTCGGTGTTCACCACGTGAAATCCTGGACACAATCCCAGTGTTTAACACAGGGAATGCTGTGAATAGTTCTGAGATGCTTTGATATAACACAATTCTGCCTCGGCTCGACTGGCTGAGGGGACACAGTGGTTCCCAAGGAAACTATTAATAATAATAAAATGCTAATTATTCTGATCCCAGCAGTTAACACAAGGCATCCTGGAAATTAATCCCAGTGTTTAACACACAGAATCCCAAACACTAATCCCCAAATGAACATACGGGTTCCCAGACATATTCCCAGTGAGTAATACACCGAATCCTGACATTTAACACAAGGAATCACAGACATGAATCCTAGCGATTAAGATGACGAATACCGAATAAAATCCCAGTGTCTAACACAGGGAAAACTGGACACCAATCCCATGATTAACACAAGGATTCCTGGTCTCGAATCCAGCATTTAACCCAAGGAATTCCGGAAACTATTCCCAGTGTTTCGCATGAAGAATCCCAGACACAAATTCTGCTTTTAACAGAAGGAATCACTTCTGTTGATCCCAGCGTTGAACACAACGAATCCTGGGCATTGATCCCGGCGATTAACACAAGGAATTCCAGACACTCATCCCAAATGATTAACACCAAAACATATGATGGGTGGGAGTATGGGGATGGTTTGGTAGGCGCTGAATGAGGATGGAGTGAGCATGGGGTGCGAAGATTGGGTGGCGGCAGTGGGTGGTTGGTGTGGGTGGTTGGTGTGGTGGTGCAAGGGGTTTGCTGGGTGAGTTAGTGGAGTAGGAGTGCGGTAGGGTGTTAGCTGGGTGGGTTAGTGGAGTGGAGGAAGGGGAGGGTATTTGCTGGGTGGGTTAGTGGAGTGGTGGCAGAGGAGGGTGTTTGCAGGGTTGTGTCAGTGGAGCGGAGGTGGGGTGTGAGGTCGGTAGGGTGGGGGTTGCAGGGAGTTGACGGGGAGGAAGAGGTGAGTAAGGGGTTGGGGTGGTTTGGTGGAGTGCGGTGAGGGTGCTGGCGTTGGGTGGAGCGTGTGAGTACGCCGGAGCTGAGTGTGACTCCCCAGACCAGCCTGTTGGAGAGAGTGGGGGGGGGGGGGGGGGGGGGGGGGGGAACTCGTGGATGTTTATTAGAGGCTGTGAGTAAGTTAATGAATGGGAGTCCTGATTAACATGGTGGCATTGATAAATGGATTCGGAGATTAGCGACGTACAAGCCAGGCGAGCTTCCCAGATGCACTGTCAAAGGCACATTAATTCTTATCTCATTCCAACATCTGTTTGGGCCGCAATCCAATGCCCCCCTCGCAAGGAGCAACGCAAACTGTTGTGACTGAATTCGATTTATATCAATCTAATTTGCTTTAATCCAATTTGTATTCCAATCTACTGCTTTCTAATCACTTACATCTTCAGGGTCCATCTGGTAAATTTGTGCTCGGAATTAACATAGCAGATGCCTCCACAATGGTGCTTCAGCGGACAAGCTAATAGCTGTTCTCTCGGCAGCCGGGCGGGGATGAGCGACAGCGGGAGGTGATTTACTGGGGGACGGTGGTGGCGGGGGAGGGATGGAGATCGGTGGTGGGGGGGGGGTAGAGGCTGCTCGCTCATTGCACACGTCGCGATGGATGGAAGCGAGGCCACCGTTTTGTCTGCCACTAATCGGACAATTTGCCTGACATACATCCAGCCGGGAGGAGAGCAAAACAGCCTTGCTCCAGCACCAGAGCATCTATCAGACCCGTCATCAGGAGTTATTACCCACCTAACCCAGGCCTTTCCTTTCTCTTTTTCTCGCAGCAACGTAGGAACAGGAGCAGGCCATTCAGCCCCTTTGAGCCTGTTGCGTCCGCCGTTCTATTAGATCATGGCTGATCTTTACCTCAACTCCCATTTACCCGCCTTTGCTCCATATCCCTTGATACCGGTGCGGAGTCACGTGGCTTAGTGGTTAGCGCAATTGCCTCGCAAGCAAGAGGACCCAGGTTTGATTCCCAGGCGGGGCGAAACCTTAGGTAAGTTTCCTTACTCCACACGCCTCTGTTTACCGAGCAGTAAGTAAGAACCCGGTTGTTAGTCAATTGGCGGATCGCTTTCCTGGGGTAATAATCCCTCCAAAAAAAAATGGAGCCAGGACTGTGTGCAATTGTCTGCCAGGTTTCATCCACAAAATAAACAGTCAATTCACTTTACAGTATATTCTGTGAAGCGTTTTGAGACGTCTCAATGACATAATAAGGCGCTATATCAAATGCAAGGATTATTATTATTATTATACTCGATCATGACTTATCTGTAACTCAACTCCAATTGCCCGCCTTTGTTCCCTATCCCTTAATACCCTGACCTAACAAACATATGTCCACCTCAGTCTTGAAAGTTTCAATTGATCCACAGCATCCACAGCTTTTTTGGGGGAGAGAGTTCCAGATTTCCACTACCCTTTGTGTGAAAAACTGCTTCCTGATTTCACTCCTAAATGGCCTGGCTCTAATTTCAAGTTGGTGCCCCTTGTTCAGGATTCCCCCACCAGAGGAAATAGTTTCTCTGTATCTACCCTATCAAATCCCTCAATCAGATCACCCCTCAATCTTCTAAACTCGAGGGAATAGAAACCAAGTTTATGCAACCCTGTCCTCATAACCCATCAATCACGGCAACTTCCCCCCACCTCCATCCACACTCCCCTTCTGCCTTGTACACCCGCCATGCCTTTCACCCCACTGCCCCCCCTACCCCCATGATTCCCACCATCTCTGAAACGTTTGCAGTCTGAGCAAAATGGTTAAATAATAATAATAATTCTTGCATTTGATATAGCGCCTTATCACGTCTTTCGAGACATCTCAAAGCGCTTCACAGAATATGCTGTAAAGCGAATTGACCGTATATTTGTGGGCGAACGCGGCAGCCAATTGCGCACAGCAGCGTCCCACAAACAGTCGTGGATTGAAAATGACCAATTTATTATTGTTTTGGTTTTGGAGAGATTATTATTAGGCTCTGTGTGGAGTAAGGAAACTTGCCCAGGGTTTCGCCCTCTGCCTGGAATTGAACCCAGGTGTCTCGCTTGCAAGGCGAGTGCTCTAACCACTGAGCTACAGGACTCCGCAATGGTTGTATCTCTTTCTTCGTGCCGACCAAAAAAAACAGTCACTATGCTTGACCATAGTTTGTGTAGTCCTGTAGCATATTGGTTAGAGCACTTGCTTCACAAGCGAGAGGACCTGGGTTTGATTCCCAGGCAAGATGCAATCTTAAACATATTTCTTGACTCCACACGCCTCTGTTTTCCGAGCAGTAAGTAGGAACCTGGTTGTTTGTGGACGGACGGATCACTTTCCAGGGGTAATGATCCTTCCCTCCAAAAATAATAATGTGGTTACTCAATCCCCGACTGTTTGTGGGGACGCTCCTGTGCA